GTGGGTGTACCAACCGAGCTAGGCCGGTTGGTTGACCCAGCCCAACATCCCTTTTTTTTTTTTTTTTTTTTTCCCAACATCTTTTAACTCATCGTCCCCACGTGATTCAGAAACTTCGTTGAATTCATCTGGTTCCGTCTAGGGGTCTCGCCGCACGGCACACGAAACGAAAACGAAACGAGTGTATCTGGCCACCAAAGGTGGCAAAATACACTCGTTACTATTTATAGCAAACCGATGAACCTGGCCATTTTCTGGGGGACGATACATTCGTTTCGTTTTTCGTTTCGTGTGCGGTGCGGCAACGCCCTAGATCATCGAACTCTGTCCTTCGGGACATCCGTTAAAATTGGAAAGATAGGGCCTCGCTGCACTACTCTCGAAATGTGCAAATCGAGAGTGAATCTTCCGCTAGAACACGGAAATATACATCGCCATGATTTTTGTCTTTTGTGCGTTTCCGGAGTAGTGGAGCGACGCCCATACAGAGAAGATTAGCATGGCCCCTGCGCTTCCAAGGATGACACGCATAAATCGAGAAATGGTCCAAATTTTTAAAAGAAAAAGATTTTTTTTTTTGAATTGAAAAAAAAAAGAAAAAAAAATCATCAAACTCTTTTTTTTTTTTGGTTGAAGATGTTTGTTTGATTGCAAAGGTGAAGAAACGGGGCCGGGGACCCCACAATTCAACCCGGAGTAGTAACCTCTGGCAGCATTAGCCAGTTTCGCTTTTTACGGCACCAGTCAGGAACCGAAATTCATCAACAGAGCTGATTCAGAAAAGTTAACTACAGATTTCAACTACATTATACTATTCTGATATAGGGAGACTACGTAGCAAAGAAGTGTAATCGATGCTGTCTCAGAATGGGGGGTTTTGGATCTGAAGATTAAGACTAAGGAAGAACAGAGCTGTGGGATAGAGGAGAGTGGAAGGAAGAGGAGAGGCAAAGGTGGGGGGAGAGGAGAGGCAAAGGTTAAAAGGAGGGGGAGGGAGAGAAACGAAAAGACCAAAGAGGGGAAGGCGGTGGAAGTGCTACACTACTGATTTAATAGGCCTATAAGGGATACGGCCTAGAACGAGCCTAAACACGACTGGTTGGAGCCAGGAAGTGGCTCCCCTCTGAACTTGACACTCCGGAGATGATGGAAGCCCCACAGCTCACGGGTGTATCAATTATTGAGGAAGGTCTGTATATCGACGGAGTGCCGGAGGTGATGGCAGAAAGGGGAGGTGATGACAGTCAGGTGCATCCAGCTAGGGCGTGATTGCGGTCAGATTCATTTAGGAGAAATTCATTGGTTCCATTCATCTGTTTCCAACTAGATTCACGGAATCAGGTCGGTATTTCGACAGTTCAAAGGTGCAACAACTGAGCTAGGTCTGTATTTTGACCGAGCTCTGGAGGTGATTGCTGTCATATGCATACAGGTCAGGCCGTAATTGCGGTCAGGTTCATTTTGGGAGACATTCATTGGTTTCATTCATCTGTTTGCGTCTAGATTCACGGAATCAGGTTTCAAAGGTGCAACAACTGCGCTAGGTCTGTATTTTGACCGAGCTCTGGAGGTAATTGCTGTCATATGCATCCAGCTCAGGCCGTAATTGCGGCCAGATTGATTTAGGAGAAATTCATTGGTTTCGTTCATCTGTCTCAAGATTCACGAAATGAGGTCATCCAGGCCGTAATTGCGGTCAGATTCATTCAACAGTTCAAAGGTGCAACAACTGAGCTAGGTCTGTATATTTTTACCGATCTCTGGAGGTGATTGCTGTCATATGCATCCAGGTCGGGCCGTAATTGCAGTCAGATTCATTTAGAAAACTGCCCGTGTGAGCACGCCCTGATCTGTCTTGCCTCCCAAGGGGTACTAGCTATCGATCAGTCCAGATCTGGAACCTTACGCCAGGCAGGCAGGCAGGCAGGCAGGCAGGAGGGTAAGAGAGAGAGCTCGATCCCTGGTCGACTGGACGTAGCAGAGGGGAGAGTGAAAGGGGTCTGCCGTCTTTCCCCGAACATAACGCACCCTTACAATGAATGTACACAAGTTATATTTCCGGCCAGATACAGCCAAATGAGGGTTCGTTGTGTTCGGGGGAAGACGGTAGGTGGGGNGGGGAGTAGAGGGAATGGACGCCCGCTTTTTTTCACATAACTCCCGTAACCCCAGAGTGACAACAGAGTTGAACAGACCAAAATCTGACCAATGACTGTTCTTCCATTAACCCTTTAAAGTTTAAACATCCACTTAAATTGGAACAATGCAGAGAAGATTAGGATGACGGCTGCGCTAGGATGACACGCATAGATCGAGAGATGGTTCAAATAGAAGAAGAAGAAGAAGGAGAAGAAGAAGAAGAAGAAGAAGTGAAGAAGAAGAAGTGAAGAAGAAGAAGATGAAGAAGTGAAGAAGAAGAAGATGAAGTAGTGAAGAAGAAGAAGAAGAAGATGAGGAAGAAGAAGAAGAAGAAGAAGAAAGAGGGTAATGAATGAGATGAGACACAGAAGAACAGAACATTTGGCTGTCGGAAAATATATTCATTTGGATTCGCTCAGTCCAGATTTTTCAATGGCTAGTAAGCACTTTCAACACCACTGAGAAAACAAATCGATCGTCCAATTAAAGAATGCACGAAGTGCAAGAACACGGCCAGATGCGGATAACGCGCGCACTTGGGGCACCGGAAAGAACGGTACATTTTTAGTACCCCCTATTTCCACTAAATGGACCAGATTCGTACGGGCAACCAATTGCGCAAATCTTAATAATAATAACAGTTTATCCTTACCATTGATTGCTATCTTCAACCTATCATTTTCTTTCTCTTCTCCGTTCAATCGTTTCTTTCTCATTAAAATAATAAGAATAAGAATAAGAATAAGAAAAAGAATAAGAAAAATAATAAGAATAGTAATAATACAAATTCCCCGTCCTATCACCAACAAACTTACGGGGCGCTGTCAATTTTGTAAAATGCGCGGCCAATATTACCAAAAAAAAAAAGTAAAAAAAAAAAAAAAAGCTAAATAACAAAGGACAAGTCCTTTTATTTCTGGCGGCAGTGAAATGCCGCTCATAATGAGCTTCCAGCATTCTTCTCTCAAAATTATTTTCACCTCAAACTACCTACCTACTTATATAGGTAGGGAGTGTGAATTACTTCTAAGCCCCTACAAATGAATTACTTTACTTTCACCCCTACTAATTACTTCTAAGCCCCTACAAATGAATTACTTCTCTCAATTATTTTCACTTACCATTACTCCTAATAATAGTCATAGTACGGTGAAATTGAGAGAAGAAAGAATGCAACTTAGTTAAAAAACAAATAAATAATTTAAATAAATAAATAAATGTCCAGCATTCATAATTTCATAAAGCTGTTCACAAATGAAAGAAAAACCCTATCGTTCAAAACCCAACAAAACTTTTGAGTAGCTGCTAATGCCCCCACCCCTCGCTTCGATCCTTCTCTAATTACTGCCATCGTTTACTGCTAAACACCTACAAATGAATGCTCCACCCCTACTAATTAATGCTCCACCCCTACTAATTAATGCTCAACCCCCTATCCTCTACTAATAAACGGTCTGACTCAGTTCCGGATCCTTCACTGCCACAATTAATCATTCCCCCCCCCCCACCCCGGTCGTCTACGGTAGCCCTCGACGGCCCCTCGTTCCTAGTGCATCCTCACTCCCCTGACGTCAGGAAGGAACAGAAAGATCGAACTACTCTAAGACGAGCAAGGGGGCACTACTTCATTGAAAAAAAAAACAAAAAAAAAGTCGAACACTACTCTAAGACGATCAAGGGAACTGTTACATTACTTCTATAAAAAAAAAAAAGAAAAAAAAAAGTCGAACACTGTCAGCAAAAGACGAGTACTGATACCGATACTGTGGCGATGATGACACGAGTCTGTTAGCTCTGCCGATGGCCACGATCGTCTTTCCTTGTGATGGTCGAGACGATGCTGATCATCATGATAACAACGATCCTTATTATTATGACACAAATGGAGATTTGCTATGTAGCCATGATGACGATGATGATGTTGATGATGATGATAGAGATAATTGAATGAGACAGGTGGTCCAATATATATGTACACAGAATTTTCACTTAGAGACAAATATGAAACAGAATGAGACACGCACTCTCATTGCTACAAAGCCTGAGCCACAGACTAGCAGACAGACTGAACTCAGGAAAGACGATGACGACTCTGTGTGTGTGTGTGTGTGTGTGTGTGTGAGAGAGAGAGAGAGAGAGAGAGAGAGAGAGAGAGAGAGAGAGAGAGAGAGGTCTGGCAGGGATCATAGACGTAAGTAGCAATCTGGAGACTAGAGGGATGTACTATAATAGTACTGGCGTTGCACGTTCCGTAGCGTGCAGACTTGGGAGTTATAGCGAACGATCGGGGGGTTGAGAGCGGGAGTGACGTAGAGGGAGAGATTATCGGGCTTTGCGGGACAGAAATAGACGAGCATTAGCGGATGGTAGTTGCCGTTCAGCAGAGCGACGTCGTTGCCCTGATCGCCTTTCGCTCTGTTCCCGCCTCCGGCGACGGACGTGTCACAGATGCGCGCATCCGTCCCAACAGTGAGCGCAAGCGCACCGCCAGCGCCGCCGGCTGCGACGTTATTCAAGAACCTTGATCGCGATACCAACACCTTTACGGGAGCATCTATTGTCCCGCTGACGAAGACGGCGCCGCCACGCTTTCCCGCCGTGTTCGAGTCGAAGATCACGCGATCGAAGACGTATCCCGCCGAGTTACCGTGGGTAAAGATCCGTACGGCTCCACCATCCTCTCCCGCCTTGTTGGACTTGAACGTCGTCCGTACGATTCGTCCTTGTCCAAACGAGCTGACGAAGATTCCCCCTCCGCTGCCCGAGGCGCTGTTGGTCTCGAACAAGCAATCTTCCACGTGCCAAAAGGCGGCGCCCAGTCCGAGAGAGAGAGCGCTTTGTCCGTTGTTCCTCTTGAAATGGACATTTATAACCCGCAGGTCACACGTGGAGTAGACAGCCCCCTTCTTTGCATTGATCAGGCTCAAGTTCTCGATCGTCACCGCGCATCGCGGAGGCAGCGCATAGGCCTGAAAGATGCCGAATTTGCCCCCACCATCCACCACGCATTTGCGACCAGGGCACGCTCCCTTGATGTGGACAGGACCGAGAATTAGAGGCAGTGCTTTGCTGAGGACGATGTCTTCGGTTATGGTCACCAGAACGGGACTTTTTTTCGCCGTAGCCGTGGAGTTGATCGCTTCGGCTAGCTGGCTCTCAGCCGTGGCAGTCGCCGTCTGACCGCCATAGCCGAGCGCGAGAGCGGCAACGACCGCCAGCCGCAGTACGGCGGAAAGCGCCAACCCCTGGGCCTCAGACCCGACCCCTCCGCTGGCCATCATCCCGTCGCACGTGCCTCTAGAAGGAGAAGGAGAGGAACAGAAAGAGCGAGACGGAGAAGGGCAGGGGAGACCTTGCACCAGATGCACCTAGCGCTCCTGCTTCCACACAGTGTCACACACTTGTTGGGACGGCAAGCACTCCACAAGCCGGCTCTCTCTTCACACACCATATCCAGCGATCGTTCGCTACAGAGACTTCTCCGAGTATTCTTACTAGGGCTTCGCCACACCATGTCGAACCGAAAGAATGCATCTTTGGCAAAATGTGGTAAGATGCATCCGTTGTTGTTCCTGCAACTACTTAAATATATGCGCTATTGGAGCTGGAATTACCTCGGCTGCTGCCACAAGACCTGAATTGCTATTCATAGTACCGGATGCATCTTGTGGTTTTTTTTTTTTTTTTTTTTTTGGGATGCGGTACTTTTTTCCGTTTCGAGAGTGGTGAGGCGAGGCGCTTCCGTGAAAATTCTCAGCAGAAAAAAATAAAATAAAAATAAAAATAAAAATAAAAAATAATAATAATAATAATAATAATAAAATCTCAGCAGAGGCTACACGGCAGCGGCAGCGAAAGCGAAACCGCGAAAGCGAAACCGCGAAAGAGAAATGACTTTCTTTTTAGACTTTCTTTTTACGCGACTGTTGGCGACGGGGCACTTTCTTTTTACGCGACGGTTGGCGACGGGGCGAGCTCGTCGTTTGTGCATGCCCATGGCCCGCCCCGTCGCCAACCGTCGTTTGTGCATGGCCGTGCCTCGGCCACACGGCCGAAACATGTAGTGTAGGGAGAGATCGCTGCTTCGCTTCCGCGCTTCGACGATTTTTTCATGAAGCAAGTTTTTTTGCGCTACCTTGAGTCTGGTTTTCATCTACCACTCCAATCTTCTTTCCCTCTTTCCTCTCCTTTCCATGGTTGTTGGTTTTCTTCTTTTTCTCCCCTTTCACTTCCACCCGTCCATGTGTTGGTGTGTTTTCAATTCGTTGCTATTGGCCACCTCAAGCTTCTGCAGCATCGAGTCTGTTACGTGCCGCAGGCCGTTTTCGACTCTTTCAAGCTCACACGGAGGGCGCAAAACAAAAAGCACTACTCGATGAGGCGTGGGGGACTATGAGAAAAGGAGGCGCAGCCACGGGCAAAATGCTCGGTCTTTGCGTTAGCCGGACCCCCACCGGAGGCCCCACCCCCCGGGGGGCAACATGAATTTCCTCGTTTGCCAGGCCCTGTGCTTGCAGGGGTCTCCTCTATATAGTCTTAGGGAGGTAGGTAGTGTGAGGTGAATTTGAGAGAAGAATATAGCTTTAAAGAAAGAAAAACAAAAGGACCCACTGCCAAAATCTGGAGGTGTTTGTGGAGAGGTGCAAGAAACTGTAATTGATCTGCTTTTCTGCATCTCTTTCTGGAACACATCCTGATTGCCAGTGAGGGCATACTCACACGAGGACCAAAAGACCCAAAATCCCAAAATTTGAGTCATTTTTGGGGTCGCACTGGAGAGGCTGGCTACCCAAATGCCTCAAAAGGTGACCCTTCTGTCAGCGGCCTGGGGGGCCGCGGGAGTACCCTTTTTGAGACCACCTCCAGAGCCGCGGGAGTACCCTTTTTGAGACCACCTCCAGATGCGGGGCATACTCACACGGGGACCAAAAGTCTCAAAAATTTGAGGCATTTGGTTGTGGTTTTTTTAGGCATACGGTCCCCCTGTGGTCAGACGGGCGGACCTCGTCCAGAAAGGAAGAAGTCGCATTCAGGGCAAGTACCCCCGGTCCTCCAGAAAGGACGAAGTCGCATTCAGGGCAAGTGCGCCCGGTCCTCCAGAAAGGACGAAGTCGCATTCAGGGCAAGTGCGCCCGGTCACACGGGGGAGGACCAAACGAAAAGATGGAACCTTTTTTTTTTAATTATCTACAACGTAAATGTTCCTGGTCGCACTTTCAGTTGTTTGGCGGGCTGTCTTCTTCATCCATTCTGTTCAATTCGGGAAAACAGAAAAAAAAAAACGAAAGGTAATTTGAGACCACCTCCGGAGGTGGTCTCAAAAAGGGTACGCCCGCGGCCCGGCAGGCCGCTGACAAAAGGGTCACGGTTTGAGGCATTTGGGTAGCGAGCCTCTCCAGTGTAACCCAAAAAATGACTCAAATTTTAATATTTTGGGTCTTTTCATCCTCGTGTGAGTACGCCCTCAAATTACCTTTCGTTTTTTTTTTCCCGTTTTTCACGAATTGAACAGAATGGTAGACAAAGAAGACAGCCCGCCAAACAACTGAAAGTGCGACCAGGAACATTTACGTTGTAGATAAGGTCCAATGAAAATTTTAAACCACCAGTACCTCGCCCAGCTTCAAAAAAAGCCGCAGCAGTTAACGCGCCGCGACTTTCGGGGGTCGGGGATTTGAAGGAGCGGTAGGAGCTCATTTCCTTTAGAAATTAAAAWAACCCAAAAAAAAAAAAAAGGACATACCACTTCAAAAAACAAGAAAAAAAAAGAAGAAAAAGAAACAATAAAATTCAAGGGCGCGGGGAGGGTTCTCTCTCTCTCTCTCTCTCTCTCTCTCTCTCTCTCTCTCTCTCTCTCT